AAAATCCTGGAGGGAGCTTCAAAGTCTGTACCTCAATTAACTCTGCTCTAAATGTCAGTTCACACTTCAGGTTTTATTCAACTTTGGTTTTAGAGATGAGCTTTGGCAATATTTTTTTCTATCTGTCTTCAGCTGGTAGTTTTGGTTATAGAAATATTTGTTTGGAAGAAGGACTTTTGTAATTCCAAGTTCATACAGGAAACATCAGTGATTTAATTAGGATTAGTAAAGGTTTCATGCATTTTTCCTTCTCAGCACATCACACAGCTTAACAACAGCATCCATGTTCATGTAAACTGTCTGAATTTTCTTTCAGGTGATGTCAGTCCTAATGAACACCATCATCTTTGGACACTGAAGAAACCAATGACCTGTGTCAAGACTGTCGCTTAGACTCACACTTCTTAATGAGAAAGCGAATGTTTAGGAAATTCCACCCGATCACATGCCAAAATAGTAAAAATAATTACTACACATAGAACAGAGCTGCCTGTTGCACTTTCAGTTGCCATCTCTGTCCCTGGTCCTTGCTCCATTATGCTCATGTTAGGAATGAAGAGTGGATTTCAGCCCATGCACTCTGTAAGCCTCTTACAGATCTGTAAGCCTCTTACAGATCATTCCCAGAGTTGAGTGGGTTCATTTTGATGAAAAATCCTCTCAAACTTTTACCCCAACCTTTACACCCAACCTCCGATCATGCAAGGATATAATTAACCTTTTCCTAATAAACTTTGTTTTCATATTTCCAGAATTAGGCAGAAGATATGCAAGCTCATCAGTCTTTTAGATAGAAAGATAAAACAACAACACCATGCAAATCACATCAGAAAAATTGCTTCCTAGAAAAATAGTTAACCAGTTTCTTTCTCTGAATGGTTTTCCAGGAGCAACTGGCTTTGGGGGGGATTATCTGAGTGCTCACACTTAACTACTGGCATTGATTGCAGTTTGGGTTGTGTGCATCTGTGGCAGACTCTGTAAACCAGGAAATAGGCTGCAATTCGCCCTTTCAATAAAATCTGAAGCTGTGAATTTGGATATGCCCATCATGTTTCCCTGGTGACTTCCTAGCAATGCAATATGTGGGATGGGAGCCCTCTGAGGGAAAGCCTGTGCCTTGTTCCAAAGGTGTGCATTTTTTGTGTGGTGAGGGGTTGTTTCTGAGAATATTGACCTGTTGTCTGTGCCTTTCTGCAGAGCTGGCTCTAACTTTATTCTGAATTGCTTTATCTCCTGGGCAGTCACAAGCCTCAGTGTATTACTGCTTTGGAGAATGAATTGTCTATACAATAAGAGGGCGCTGGAAAAAAAATCAGACACTAAGATTAGCAGCAACTGCATACATTAAAATTCAAACTGAAATCCCAGCCATGGAAGGAAACTAATAGAAGAAGAAAATATATCAAGAAGAGAAGCGCTGTCTCATCATTCACCTGTGCTGAAGGATCCAATTTTAGCCATATCTAACAGCAATGTCATTCATCTTCTTGGTGTGTTACTGTGATTTAAATCCAAGCTCTATAAGAGAGAGCAGTTCTTTTAAAATGATTGAGAGGGAATAAGGGTAAATTCAGTGTTTAGGAAAACTTTATGACATCACAATATTATACTTTACAGATGGAAGCAATATTTTCTACTTTGGAAGGAAAACTAATCATTTTCTATCTGCTCTGAGTCACTGCCTCATTATAAAAGTGGGATATAAGTAGTTTTCTGCACTCCCAATCTTGTTCAAGACGACACTTTTGTTTATATAATGCTTCTGATTTATAGTGCTTAAGGATTAGCCTGACTACATATTAATTATATGGTTTTGATGCTTCAATATAAGAAGAAATTAAATATTTCACTTGAAAATAAAACCATGGAGCTGTAAATCATAAAGAATAAATTTGTGACTGTCAGAATATTCTTTTTACTGAAATTAGACTAGTTCTAATGATTATGTGTTTTGCTTAGCAGACATGGATATGTATAAGCACCTTTACTTAGGAACAAGTCTTATATTTCTTTTGGAAGAGTGACGAACAGGAAATAGGATTTGCAATATTTGTATTGCCCTTTTTGCATCAAGGTTATTTATTTCATGTTGAGAAAATGTAGGAGATGTTCTTACATATAACTGTAAAAGTCATCTTTTCTTGGCTCATTCCAGTGCACTGCTGATTTATTTATTGGGAATGGGTTCCTTTACTTCCTTTACTGTCTCTACAGTTCTTGAGAAATAGCAAGCATGCAAGTTACCAGGTCTTACTGCTCGTTCCAGTACTGCTCTTTTGTTTTAATGAGATCTTCTTTGCCCATAATTGATTTCAAAGGGAAGGCATCATGTTTACTGGGGGCTCAGAAAAATTTGGATTGACACATGCCTGCACCAATAGGGTTAATTATCCAAAATGGAATCATACTCCCAGTCCACCCTACAACAGCACTACTCTCTTGAGGCAGCAGGAGCTCAGTATGGACTGGCATGTTTAGAAAGCCCAGGGCTCAGCACAGCTCCATGGTGTTGGCACATGGATGCCATGGGATGCTGTGATCAGGAAGGGGACACAGAGATGTTATTCTTTGCTGTTGCCTGGGGATGCTGTTAATGCTTTCAATTGTGGGGTTGAATGAAGTTCTTGGAATGCCTCTTTTCTAAAAATCACTTGTGGACACTGGCCAAGGTCTCAGGATTGTGACCTCCTCTAGTCTGGACTCTGCGCTGGTGGTCACTGTTGTTGATGTTTGGGGTTTGGAGTTTGGTGTGGGTTTGGGGTTTGGGGTTTGGGGTTTGGGGTTTGGTGCAGGCAGGTCTTGCATCCTTCATGCCTGCTCCCAGGGGATGTTCAGAGTGGTTTGGGTGTTCCAGGACCCAGCTGTGATCAGCTGCTGCCTCTGCTCCCAGTGCTGCTGCAGGGGCAGCAAAGATGGTGACACAGGGTATTACTGTGAGAGGAACTGTCCTGGGGCCATGAAATTTGCCAAGGAGACATTAAGCCAAAAACTCCCTCCACAACTGTGGAGTTGTCAGGGCTTAGCCTTAGTGTTACAGTTTTATTACATTTTCTTTCACCATCCCATATTTTTGCCTATGTACAGACAACTGTAATTTTGATGATAATGATGTGTGTTTAATTTGGGATTTGTTTAAGATTTAAACCAGTTTAAATATTTTAAAGGTTTTTTTAAAAATCTGGCAAACAAATCCCAAACTTCTGTGCTTTCTGACGCTCTGTGTGACACCCTACAAGTTACATTAACTTCAAAAGCCTACTACATTTTGCATCCTAAAAGCTGATTCTCAGCCTGCCTTTAACAAGTTCTCTTGTTACACACCTGAAATTTGTGGAATACAGGTAATATTCCTCTGGAGTGCAATATCAGACTGCTCAGGAACCTTGCCAGGTACGTGCACACAGGTTCATCAGAATGAACCTCTGAATAATTGTCTGTATAAGTGCGTATCCCAGGGATGTGCTGATGCCCAGGGCCATGACTGAGGCTGTGACTGACACAGCCAATGTAATAAAGGCTGAACAGGGTTATTTGACTTGCTTGGCTGTGGTAGAAGGATGGTGGGCAGCTCTACAGTCCCCTCCTGTTTCATATTTCTAAGCTAAATCAACATTCTTGTGAGGTGCTAAAAAGTTCTGCTTTAAGTAGCCTATAACTGTGCCAGAATATGATGGGAAGAGAAATACAGGAAGTGATGCAGATGCATGAGCTTCCCAAGAGCCCAGAGCAGATGGCCCAAACTGGCACCACCCTAAAAAGGCTTGAGAAGTACTCGAGGATGCTGCTGCCACCTCTCCAGGGTGAGTTGGAGCTGGTTAGGGGCCAACACCCACTGCTGGTCCCACTTCACCTCAGCCCTGGTGGCTGTTAGTTTTTCTGTGAAGCAGGAGGCTCATTTTAACTGCAAATGCTTAAAATTGAGCAGAAATCAATTTCCATTAGTAAGAATATAAGCACAATCATTAAAAAATAGGACTAGGATAAAGAATAACTTTCTAATTGCATCCTGTACCTCCACACAAGCCCCAGCTCACCCCACTGCTCCAGACATCCCCATGCAGTGGAGGCAGGCAGGATTATTGCCTCTGATCTGGCAAAGAGACCTTTGCTGAGATCCCATCAGTTTGCAGGCACCTGTCCCCACAGTCCTGTGCAGGAAGGAGCCCTCAGGAGCTGTTTTGGGGAGACTTTATTAGCTTGGCTGTTGTGAGCCAGCAAAGCCTGACACAATCACAGCAAAGAGCATAGAGGCAACAGACAAAGAACATTTGAAAAACTCTAAATGTGGAGTGCAGACACATCTGGTACTTTAAATCGTTTCTGTGTGGGTTTTGGATTGTTTTGGTTTTGAAAAAATAGAATCATAGAATGGTTTGGGAAGGGACCTTAAAGATCAGCCAGTTCCAGCCCCATTGCCGTGGGCAGGAACATCTGACCAAACACACAGATTTGGGTTGGGACAAACAGCAGTCAAGGTGCTCATTCCAGGGGAGGAGTTCATGTCTGGGCTCTGAGGTGTCCATCAGTCTCAGGTGATGTTAGCAGACAGATTTCACACCCCACCCCCCAGGTGGTGAGCTGCTGGGGGATTTGTGTGTTTGTGCTGTGCCAGAGGGGTCTGGTCCCACCTTTCAGCAGCCAGGCTGGACTCTGGCATCTTCCGGAGGGGGGAAGGTGGGGCTGGCCTCCATGGCACATCCCAAGGAGCCCTTTGCTGTAGGCTGGGGAGGAAGGACATTTCTCAGCCATGTGAGGTGGGAAAGCTTCTGGCTGCAGTCATTTCTCTGCTGGCTCTCAAATGTTTCACACGTTGCTATGCCCAGACTTACATGTCATAGAACTGGCTTTTGAGGACACCTGGTGATTCTGTTGGTGAGTCTTCCTCTGGTTTTCCCTCAATTTAATACACATTATAGTTTCTATTTCTACCATCTCTCACAATGTATCTCCCACAGTAAGGTCTCCTTTAACCAAATGTTTGGTGTCTGCTTTTCCAGGTCACTCAGAGCATGCTGGAGAGATGTGGCCAAAGCTCTGCACTGCAAAGGGGCCTCCAATCCCAAGGGTGTGGATATGATTTGACAAGGACTTTGGAAACGGAGAACTGACTGATAAACCCTCTTGGAAAGTGCCAGGACCCTGTTATATTGTTAGAGAGATTTTTTACTCTTGTGAAAACTATTTTTAAGATATTTTCTTCATTTTTCTATCTCTAGCCTAAATGTAAGGATTTATAATAGTGAAAACAATGGAAAACCAGCCTTACTTTGAAGAATGTTTTCAGCATTTCTTATCAAAATTTATAATCCTGTTGTTTTCGCTTTATGAAACAGTGTAAAAATAGTGTATAACTAGAGAAAAAAGGATATGTGTTCCTTCTGAATTTGTGTCAGTTCACGATTCTCAGTTCTGTACATAATAGTAAATAATATCTCATCAGTTCAAACCTCTAAGCTCACTCTAGAAGACACATTTGTTTGAAAATGAGATGAAAGCCAGTACAAACTTTATATGACACCTTTTCAAACTATTTTTCTGCAATATGTTCTATATTTCTTTGTAGCACAGGTGGTTAATGACAATGAGGACCACAAAGAAGACTGAAAACAAGCATTTTTAGGCTATAAGTATAGCAAGAAAATTGAATGTTGCACAGAGTGGAATAAGAGAGGATGGAGCATGACTTAGTGAAGTACTGATGTGTTATTTCACAAGAACACATTTTCCAGGTCTTTAGAATCAGGAAAAAAAGAACCACAGAAAAAAATGGTGTTAAAGCCCTTTACAAAGCATAAAGTTTATCCAAAACTGCAGAAAAAAAAAAAAAGAGACTTACACTGGGGAGCAGTGGGTGTCCTGTGCTGGGCAGGAGGGGCTCTGCTGGCTGGGGAGATGCAAAATGAATTGAAGGAAGACCTAATAAAAATCAGAACCTCTTAAACCATAACTCAGTGTATTATGTGGAAAAGCTACTATGTGCAATTACAAACTTGCTTTGGGATTGAGTTGAGTTTTCCATAATTTACCTAAGGAAAAAAAAATTCACATATTTGTCATGTTTGCTGACATTTGTGAATTCAATAACATTTCACCACTTCTTAGATAAGAATGGGAATTATTAATTGTGGCCAACAGGGAGAAAAAGTTCACACCTGTATTTCTTACAGGGCTTTTCCAGTTTTCTTCTTTGCAATTGTTACTTTTCTGCACATTTTCAAACGGCAGGAAGTACAGCTGGAAGGAAGGTGTTTCATCAGTTTGCTGTTCACATTTGAGCTCAGTTCAAGAAAGGATTTCAGCCAAAGGCTCTGAGCTCCAGGAATGCTGAGCATCTGAGGAGTAATCCGTGGAGGTAAAGTGACGCATGGAGGCTACAGAAATCCATGGAGGTTGAAATCCATGGAAGTTACAGTAATCCACAGAGATTGCAGTAATCCATGGAGGCTACAGAAATCCATGGAGCATGTGTAATGCCTTATGCATTTTTTGAAAAGACATAATTGCCTTAAGGCCCTGGAATTTTTTTCTCCTTTAAAAACAGTGGAAACCATGGCATGGGGAATGTCAAAGGGAGATGCCGCTCAGAGCCCAAGCAATTTCCTCACAAAGAAGCAAAGTGAGCCTGTCTAGCAATGCAGAGAGTTGGGGACTGTAAAACTGGGCTGGTTCTCCCCCAGCTGTGTTTTATATCCTCGCAGAGCAAGGCAGGGCCTGCTGAGGTTCAGGTGAGTGCCCATCCCTGTGTGAGTCAGAACAAAGCCAGAGCCTGCCCTGGCTGGGCTCTGCTGCCTGGGGCAGGCACTGGGCTGAGCACACTGAATATGGGCCCTGCTTGCACAGGAGGCTGTGAAGAGCTCAGCCCCAGCATATGCACACCTTCCAGGGTAATTCCTTGGCTTCATTAATGTTTTATTGCACAAGGAGTTTACGATGACAGCGAACCTCTCAAACTGCAGCGGGATAACACGCTTCCTCACCAGATTAAAAAATAATGCTGCTATAGGTTTATGTACCAGGGTGTAGACTGCTGTTAAGAGGCACTGCTTTGACAAAATTCTTTTTGAGGTTTACAGAAAGCATAATAAAATATGTAAGTTACATTTCTACAAACAAAAGCTATAACATAAGTTATTTATAAGCATGAGATACAAATGGTATCACAATAAATAAACCTTAATGGATACCTGTGGCATCCATCCTAATGTAATTTGCCCAGCAAAAGTCATATTTAGTATAAAAACCTGGCAGCAGCTGCATGTTGGTATTTAAAATAGGAATGAAGGAAGGAAGAAAGCAGCTGCTTCCCCAGGCTTATCCCTGACCTGTGGTACCTCCCTGCCTTCCCCCTCACCTGGGGCTGGCACTGCTGCTCCCAGAAACCAGATGTCTCTGCGTCTTTCAGGGCTTGTCCACGATAATAGGATGTTCCCTGTCAGCTTCACTACAGTCTGCTTTTATTAAAGATGGCAGAAAGAAATGGAGCCCCATCTGCCCATCACCCTCTGCCCTTTCAGGGGTAGCTCCTTCCCCAGCACCTCCCTTGAAGCCTCCCCTTCTCATCTAGTCTCAGCCATTTGTGGAACAATGCATGGATTCTGAACTGAAATAAAGTTTTGGCTTTTTAAATATCACAGTTAAGGTTACCAACCCCACCGAGATGTGTTTTGGAACAGGGATTGAAACCACTAAGGAATGTTCATTTGTCAGAGGCTTTAGAACCTGTTAGCATTGGCTCTCTGAGTTGGGTTTAACTGCTTCCACCCACTGGGACATGGAGGACAGGGAGTTTTGCTGGAGCCTGTGTGTCTGGACCTTGGCTTATGGGGCAGGTATCTCCTCCATCTTGGGGTATAGGGAATATCCCTTGTTCTGATGGGGAAAAGGCTGCTGAGGGCAGAGCTCCATGACCCTGCCCTCCCCTCTGCCTTCATGGGATGAGGGGAGGCAGGAGGGGCACAGCCCTCCAAACCCAAAGGAAGGGGCAGAGGGGAATGACCTTTGGCTCTGCAGCATTGGAGCCCTTCCCTCAGAAAAAGAGCAGCTGATTTAACCCTTGTTAAAAAATAAAAGGGGCTTTTTGTCAGCTCTGCTGAGAGCCAGGAGCTGAGTGCCTGAGCCAGGTGCTGCCCCATGAGAGCACAGCCACAGCTGGCACCCAGGGTCCTGCTCCATCACTGGCATGGGGCAGCCAGGCCTCTGCTCTGTCCTGGGGCCTGCTGGCCTGTTGGCCATGGTGGGCCCCACTCAGGGCGGCTCATCACTGACCAGGAGGACCCCCAGGGTCTCACTGAGCCCTGCAGAAGGTACAAGGGTCAGGACCACATCCCCCTTTGGTGCACAAACCTCAGCCCTTCCCTGCCACTGCCCTCCACAGCTGGGCACATCTGGCTACAGGCAGAGTTCAGGCAGCACATAAGCTGCTCCTGGCTGTCCTGTTCCCCTTCCCCTGCTCATGCCAGGACAGAGATCACACATGTCCCTCTTCTGCATGAACACCAGCATCACCCACCAGCTGCACAGGAAGCTTCTAGGGCTATGGCTGAAAAGCAACGTGTGTCCTCTGTCGTGCTGAATTCCACATGAGTTGTGTAATCACTCCAAACCATATGGGGTTTATGCAGCAATATCCATCCAGAAAAGGCTGTGGAGGACAGGACTGGCCTTGCCCAGCCTGAGAGCTGCTGCCAAAGACAGGAGACACAGCAGGAACTCTGGAGATACAGCAGGAACATCTCAGCATCTGCTATTGCTTCCTGGTGCAGGGGGTTATTTGCAGTGCTCATCACGTGGTTTGATTATCTCCTGCTACAGGAAACACTTTTTAAAAGCTGAACGGTGGCGTTGGCCACTGTCAGGCACATGGTGGGGGTCCTGCAAGGATAAGGGTCCTGCGAGGACATGGTGCTGCAAGGACACCCTCCCTCCAGGTCCCTCATTGTTTTGATCCTGAGGACATTCCTAGGGCTGAGGAATGCCTGTGCACACCATTACCAAACCTGGTGACCATGACAGGCTGCAGCACATTCCCTTCTTGTCACCTCCTGGCAGCCAGGCCTGGGAGCAGCTCTGGGTTTCAGGCATGAGTGAGAGAGCTGCCACATCTCTGTCCCCAGTGACTCCCAGTGACAGACTGGACAGGGGATTCTTCTGCCCAGTGGGACAGGGAGTGGTCACTCCTCTTCCACAGCTTTAGCTGCTTTTCTCCCTGCTTAACTCTGTCCCCACCCAGGGGGGGCCCATCATACCTCCCATACCTCTGCAGGTGCCTGGGAGCAGCGCTCTCCAGACCTGGTCAGTCCCTGTGCCCAGGCGTCCTGGCAGAGCTGGCTCAGCCACGGTCCCTGACAGGCCCAGGGAGCTGTGCCCCAGCATGACAGGGCTGCACCGTGTTCCTCTCTGCCAGCATCACACACTTGGCTCCACATCTGTTAATACCTGTACGATATTACCTGAAATTCTGAAAGCAGAATTTCACAGGGAATGACAATGCCACAGCAGCCTTCCCACACACCTCCAGAACTCTCCCTTCCCAACCCTCTCCTGCCTGCATGGCTCCAGTGGTCACCCGCTGGTGCTGTCCAGCTCTGTCCCCCTGGTGCTGTCCAGCACTGTCCCCGGATGATGTCCAGCTCTGTCCCCTGGTGCTGTCTGTCACTATCCCCTGGTGCTGTCCAGCTCTGTCCCCCTGGTGCTGTCCAGCACTGTCCCCTGATGCTGTCCAGCACTGTCCCCTGGTGCTGTCCAGCTCTGTCACCTGGTGCTGTCTGTCACTATCCCCTGGTGCTGTCCAGCTCTGTCCCCCTGATGCTGTCCAGCACTGTCCCCTGGTGCTGTCCAGCTCTGTCCCCTGGTGCTGTCTGTCACTATCCCCTGGTGCTGTCCAGCTCTGTCCCCGGGTGCTGCCCGGCTCTGTCCCCTGGTGCTGTCCAGCCCTTGCTGCCCGTGCACTGGGTTAGAGGCACCTGCAGCTGCCTGCTCGTGGCTGGCACTCCCAGGCTGGGCACCGAGCATGCTCTGCCTCACTGTGCCATGACAGACATGGGCTCTGCTATTCTGTGCCACTCCATGCAAGGGCCAAGGCCAGGCCATGCCATGCTTTACTGTGCCATGGCTGGGGCCTGGCCAGAGCCCAGCTGGGTCTCTCACCTCCTTGTGATGGGAAGCTGCCTGGTTGCTGGTGCCGTGCGCCTGCCCGGGGGTCCCGCTGCCTCTCTGTGCCGCTGGAGCCAGCCCTGAGCGGGCTCAGTCCCCCCGATGGGCTGCAGCGTAGCCCGGGTTCCGGTGGGCACTCCCAGCGGCGCAGCAGCACCGCCCCGCAGGCCGGCCCTGGCACTGCCGGGGCTCGCAGCAGGGCCGCGCCGGCGGGGCCGCGGATCCGGAGCGGGGCCGGGAGGGAAGCCCGGCACGGAGCCAAGGAGCGCTCACCTGCCATAGCGCAAGCGGACTTTGGGTCGGGAGGAGCCGCGGGGCTGTGCGTGGCTGTGCGGGCTCTGCGCGGTTGTGAGGGGGTTTATGCGGGCTCTGCGCGGGCTCTGCGCGGCTGTGAGGGTTTATGGAGGCTCTGCGCGGTTGTGAGGGCTTATGCAGGCCCTGCGCGGGCTCTGCGCGGGCTCTGCGCGGGCTCTGCGCGGGCTCTGCGCGCCCCCCGCCCGCAGAGGGGCGAGGGAGACGGCGCGGCTGCGGGAGAGCTGCATTTAAGGATACCATACGTCCGGGGTTATTAATTATAAAACATAATTAAAGTAAAACTACACAACGTCAACATATTAAATTTAAAAGCTAATATTAAAATAGCGTTAATATTTAATAAGGTAGCTGAGCGTTACAGAGCTGTACGCTGATACTCTATATTTAACTGTGTAAAACCAGGAGAGTTTTCTCAAAGAAAAATGTATTGTTTAGCTGATTATCAAAGACTCTGTGATATATTATCCATTTCACAAAAAT